CTCTCTCTCTCTCTCTCTCTCTCTCTCTCTCTCTCTCTCTCTCTCTCTCTCTCTCTCTCTCTCTCTCTCTCTACATTCCTCATTCTTCACCTCGGTTGCTCACCGCCAAACAAAGTTGCTATCTATTGAGAGTAGTCCATATGTGATAATGATGCAGGAGCTGGAGCAGCTGGAGGACCCGACAAGGAAGGAGGTGGCGGAGATTAGACGGCGAATAGAGGTGGTAGACAGAGAGCTTCGGCCAATGAAAGCAGCATGTGAGAGGAAGGTAATCCATTTTGGAACCGAACTACCCAGCCCGGCCCTGGCTACAGTACACGCTCCGGAAAAAAAAAAAAAAAAAGCTTGACAAATCAGGCAAAAGCCCTTGACAAAAATGCAAGGCATTACCTACCGATTGGTGGAGAGAGTGAGCGTTGTGTGGAGACCACTGGTGGTGCGTTCAACTGCATTGTAAATTTGTAATGCTCTTTGCTCTGCTGCAATTGAACTCTGCCGGAGCGTTGTACTTGTTTCGTATTATTTTCTTTTTTTTCCTTTCTTTTCTTTTTTTTTTCTTTTTTTTTTTTAAGAAGAAGGGGGTTAGCACCTAACATTTCTGGACTTGAACTCAGTAACTATCAATTGATAGTCACATGTGTACCGTTCATCCATGTGGGCTGGGTTGTTCTGTAGTATTATTGTGGTTGAAACTTGGTAGCAAATTTGCCCTTTGTTATGGCCCTGGTGTGTGCTCTTGATGCAAAACTGAACGCGAACTTGGAGACAAACCATTCAGTGCCAATCAAGAAGAAGTGGAAAGGTCAAAGAGAGACAAGAGAATGAGGCTAAGAAGACCAAGACGGCGACGACGACGGCGACGACGACGACGACGACGACGACGACGACGAAGAAGAAGAAGAAGAAGAAGAAGAAGAAGAAGACAAGAGTGACTCAATGTTTCCTCGCCTCATATCACCAACCCTCATAAACTCCTAGTCTATACTTACTCTTCTCTTACTAAAAGTGTAAGCCGGGTCTCGCGTTTCCTCCCCTCATATCACCAACCCTCGTGAACTCCTCGTCTATACTTACTCTTTCTTTTTTTTCTGTTCTGACTAAAAGTGTAAAGCGGTTCTCACGTGACGTCCCCACGAGGCCCGGCTTACAGCGTTGGGAAAACACTTGGGACGGGGGAGGCGGGCCCAGCGGAAACCGCTACTCGCGCAGCTTGCTTCAGCGTATGTTCGATACAAGGACATAGCAGCAACGCGCTGTGCTGGAAGTCACATCCAGGAGGCCTAAAAATACGGTGGTGTATCTTTCCATACTGTAGTGGAAGATTCGCTCTAGCAGAAGTCTTCTCTATTTTTGTGTGTGGTGTCTTGGCCAGTGGGGGGCCCAGGGCATCGCTCCACGACTCTCCCTCCACATGCACCAAAAACAATGAGAATGAAACCTCTGTCAGAACATGGGAAGATGCACCACCAGTTTCTTTCTTTGACTTTTGTGCATGTGGAGAGTCGTGGAGCCAAGCCGTAGCTACAAATCTGGAGGGCCTTTGTCAGTTGTTGTCCGAGATTCGTTAGTTTTTGTTTGTTTTTGTTTTTTGAGATTCGTTAGTCAGTTTTCAGGAGATTTGTTCCTTGTTGTCCGTTTTCTTTGTCGTTTTGCTTGCTTGGTAGATTCCAATTTCTTTTTTTATTTTGTTTTTAAAAAGCTATATTCTTCTCTCATCTATCTCATTTTTCTTTGCTAGTACTCATCTATCTCATCCTCTCAGGTTGGTACCACAGCAGTGGTGCGAGAGCAAGGCTGTACCAGTCCCTCATCACGGTGACAAGGGGTGGGCAGGCATTGCCGATGGGGGAAATCGGCGGTGCTAGCGCCAAGCAATGGCCAGTCACTGCACCTCCCCCTACCCCCCCCCAAACCCC